AAAAAGAAAAGTATACGTGAGTAAGCCGTAAATAATTAATTATAAAATGTCTCACGAAAGTTTAAATAATTTAATCAGTTAAAAAGGTATTAAAGACAATAGCTTTTGGGGTATATATTAAGTTAATCAGTAATGAAAGCCACTCCATGCCATCCTTGTTGTGAAGTAAGCCAAATGACATAGTCTATTCTCGCGCGGGTTCAAACGTCGCTGCGTCGCGCGTGCCTCTTGCATTTATTGCACAATTTTATAAGTACCTGTGTTTAATTATATCCTATGATTATTGCAAAGATGTATACGTTGCCGAGAAAATTAGTGTTCACAAGCTTAAAAAGGATACCGTTAACTGTAACCTTTAGAAAGTATAAAAAAGTTTATGTATCTATGGTACAAAATTGCTTGACAATGACGTACAATGTTTTCCCGCCTAAAATGACATTTACCAAAAGTAACATTTTTTATACAACGATTTTTTAACTTATAGAAATACGAGTTTTGTTAGTAATTAATAGTTATTATTATACGTCGAATTTATTAGTTGGTATTATGTAAAATGTTTCACAATGATATAGAAGTTTGTAGAGCGTAGAAAATTTCTATTTTTTGATGTGCGACGGTCACGGGTGTGAGTGACATGCCAATCTTGTACCACCTGCCAAAGGGACTCATTGTAAAGGTGTGACAACAATGAATATTAATATAAACATGTCATATGTGTGCCCACTCTCAGTTGTAACCTATATTATTAGGGGTAATTAGTTAGCTAGGCCATATTCTACAACATTCGTAAACGTCAGCGACACGAAATGGCTTCTCGTAAGTGCAATACCACAACCACACTAAAGACAGGCATCAAATTTCTTCCGTATTTTGTCTGTTGAGTAGATGGATTTAGTATGGATATATCAAAAATACGCTCTAAAATGTGAATTTTAAAATTTATCTCAATATAGAGAAAAAGATGACTTAAATGTGAATGAATTTTACAGATTTAATTTAAGAAACATATGTGTTATGAATACGATTTGGGTGTCTATAATAATGATGATTCATCTCTTCAAAATTATAATGTTTGGCAGAATGCCAAATATCTAATTATTTAAGTGATCAAATCTATTCAATCTGTTTTATGATTATTGAATGTTTTTAATATTAGATTTTCAATAATTTATCCATTTGGGAAAGTATTCATTTCTATAAAATTTGGTTTTTATTGTATTTTGTTCGTAAGACAATTAATAATGTTAGAACCACTTTTAACGCCATCTATTGAGTGTTTGTGGCACTGTTAAGTAATTATTTAAAATTCATGACACACAGTTGCAATTCTTTAACGACATCTAGCGACCAAAATTGAACCCATCTGAACACCTGTAACTGCCTTATAACCAGATAAGATAAATCGAAGTTATAGAATATCAGTTATAAACACGGATTGAAGAAATGTCCCTTTAACGGGTTTTTAATACAGACTGCATAAACTAAAAATGCTGAAATAATTCTTGTATTTATATAGTGGCGCCCTCGACACATGTTTTCCAAAATTATCAACAAAATTGGCGGGAAACTTCAAATTGCCCTTGTCCCTACGGAGGGTCGGCACAGTATGTACTCCATAAATCTGTATCAGAGCCTTCATATCTGAATTCACTCTTTTAAGAATATCTTAAGGGCTAATTTTAGTCCCTTTCTCTTTACCACCCTTTTCTTATAAGGAGAGGTTGGGAAGAGGAAGTGGATTTGACAGTGGAGGAGAGATGCATAGGAAGGGGAAATATCCTCTTTATGTGCGTCTCCTCCTCCGTCGGATAAGTGTAGGCAACGCATCTGCAAATGTCTGGGCAGCGGTCGCTTCGCCATTTTGGCGATTTCAGGAGGCCGCTTGCCACCTTGTTATAAAAAAAAATCTTTCACACAATCCATACATACTCTGCTCTTGTATATCCATTGAATGTTTTAACACTGATGCTCGCGTTTCCGCCCGCGTAAAATTAAAAAAACAATTAAACATAGCCTATGTTACTCAGTGCTAACTTAACTTTTGATTTTTTGACTTAAATCGACCAGGTAGTTTGAGTTATTTCAAAACATACAAAAATACAAATCTTTCCTCTTTATAATATTAGTATACATAGATAACCTCAAAAATAAAACAACACAAAAACATTAAAATTTATTCAAATTATTAATCTTCTTCAACCTAAATTGTATCTTTTTTAATCTTTGATCATTTGTCATTTTCCTCATAGACCTTTTTATACACCATTTCTGTATAAATTCGGTTTTCTGCACTTCGTTCAATTCGAAAAACTTTCTCATACAATGGCCGCATTTAAATCTTTTCCCAACTTTACTAACAGTACCTATTTTCTCATAAGACCTGAGTTTACTCGATTTCAAAAACTGGTAACACAAATCACACATCATTGTCACTTTATTGTATGTCTCGTCATTATTATTGTGGTAGTTTTTAAAATGATTTATATAACTTCGATAAGATAATCCACATTGGAGGCATTTTTCAATAGGATTGTTTAGTTTTTGCCTTGTTTTAGGTGAATGTGATCTTTTGTGACGGAGCACATCTTTCCTATCACCAGCTATGTACCAATCACAGGCCGAACAAAATGAGGGCAAACGATTATTAAAATTTATATGACATGTTTCATGTAATATTAAAGTATATCTGAAAATAAAACATTAATTAAGCGCCAATAGCATAATGGTTTGTGGTACGGAGTAATCTTGAAGTCGAGAGTTCGAATCCATTCGACTTGTGAACCATATCCTAGCACAAGCCTACAGCTTAGTTGGAATAGTTAAAGGAAATATTAGTAATCTAACAAAAATCTACTAAAATCAGAAAAAAAATCTTACTAATATTATAAATGCGAAAGTTTTTTACTTGTTTGTTAGTTTGTATCCTAACTTAATCTTGTTGAAAGTCATAGATGTAGAGGATAGTCTGGAACATAGACTATTTACATTTTTTAAATCCATGCGGACAGAGTCATGGGCAAAAGGTAGTTTAACTAATAACTAGCTGTCAACCGCGACTTTGCGTGGAATTTAAAGAAAATATAAAAATGTAGACCGTCGTCTACTATTCTCTACATTTATGACTACTAGAATACTATAGAATACTTATGTTTTTGTTTATTTCACCCGAACGGAGTCAACGGCCAAAGCTAGTTTTTACAAGTCTGATTAATATCATAAAGGTTTAGGTTTGTTATTTATATCTATTGATTTAGTTATAAAATGAAATAAAGATAGAAATAATTGAAATTACTTACTCATTTGGATATTTCTGTTTACAATATCTACATATGACCGTTTTTGGTTTACTCAAATCATCAAAATGTACACTTTTATATATATTATTACCATTTTCTTCTATTTCCGTATCTTTCCTTCCATTAGGTATTTTATTCACAGTCTTTGTACCAAATATATATTTATTTTTTATTAATGGTATATCATCATCTAGATCAATAACCGAGTTATTTACATCCAAGTTATTTTTTACATGCGAGTTATTTTTTATTTCAAAGTTATTTTTTACGTTCGAGTTATTTTTTATCACCAAGTTATTATTGACTAAATTATTAAATTGCAAATTCTCCAATCTAATGTTTATTTGACTGTTCAAATCTTTCAATAGATCTGATGAATTATTTAATATACTGTCGTCTTCAAATTTTATTCTATTCCTTATATTAATATGTTGGTTATTCAGATTTTTTGTATGTTTCTTCAAATGTTGTTGATATTCAGTCTGCGATGTGAAATAGAATAGGCAATCATTGCATTTTATAAGTTTCTGATTAAGAAGAGGTATTATTATGTGACTAGCATTGTGAATTAAACTATCATATCTGAAAAATAAAAAAAATAAATAAATACTCTTCCCTCTCCGAACAATTTTTATTAAGGTCTGGATTACCTCTTTCTGTTATCTAATCTGAAGTATAATTTAGCCTCCCTTTAAATGATATTAATATTATAAATGCAAAAGTTTAGATGGATGGATGTTTCTTAGAGTTAGTAGCCTAAACGGCTAGCAAGGGATCTCAATGAAATTTGATATAGAAGTATAGTCTGGAAAAACACATAGACTACATGCTTTTGTCTTTCTTTCAATTGACGGAGTCGGGGGCGATAGCTAGTATGCTATAAAGATAGCTTATATCATGGGTGGGCATTAAATAAATTTAGAATTACCCGAAAACATGCTACATGCTACATAACAAATAAATGTGTATTTTTTATTAGAGAAGGGAGCAAACGATCGGCGAAAACACAGATGTGGTCAACAACGCCCATGGACATCCGCAACACCAGAGGAACTATACATGCGTTGCCGGCCTTTAAGAAAATTGTAGACTCGCTTCTTGAAGGACTCTAAGTTGTACTGGTTTTGAAATACAGCTAAGGACAGACCGTTCTACAATACAAATGTGTTTCCTCATCATTACCTATACTTCTATACTAATTATAATAAAGCGTAAACACACACTTCTTTGTTGCCTAAGATGTCAGCAATTGCAGCATATACTTGAAAAATCCTTTTTTTAATAAAAAGGTCTTCAAACTTTAGGCTATATATTTTCACGCCATTAAATTTAGGGGGTAAATATTTTGGATAAAAACCCAAATGTGGGAAAGAGACCATAAGTTGCTGCCAACATCAAGAATGCGAGATTGCTAAGGTTTGTCATGTCATTCTGACGTTTGCTATTGATAATTTGACAAATGTAAACAATAAAATAAAGTTTTTATAATTTGATGGGGATGAAGCCGCAAGGGAACAGTATTAGTATATAATTAACTTACTTGTTATTAGAAACACTATCACAAAACTCACAATGGTTTATACTCGGCTGGCAAAGTATTTTATAACTGTTTTCGTTGGAACATTTAGATATTAATTTTAATGGTACTTCATCATCACTTGAAAAGGAATCTCGTCTATTCAATCTCATTCTGAAACAATATATCATATATCAGTAAAAAATTCTTACTTATAATTATATTTTAAATGCAAAAGTTCATATGGCTATCCAATCAACTTTCGCATTTATAATATAACTTTCGCCCACAGCTCCTTCCATATGCAATTAAAAAAGGTAGTAACCTATGTATTCTTTCCGATTGCGCTCTACAAGTATGCTAAATTTCAAAAAGATCCATTCAGCAGCTTAACATCTATATGTTTATGTAGCCTTAACTGCTGAATGGATCTTAATGAAAATTAACATAGATGCAGAGGATAGTCTGGAAGAACACATAGGCTACTTGCTATTTTTTTTTTAATTTTATGCAGAAGTCTTGGGACAAAAGCTAGTTAAATTATAAATGCGAAAGTTTATGGATAGATGTTTGTTAGATTATGTAGCCTAAACTGCTGAATGTATCTTTTTGGAATTCAGCATACTTGTAGAGCACAATCGGAAAGAATACATAGGTGACTACCTTTTTTAATTGCATACAGGAGCTGTGGGCGAAAGCTAGTTATATTATAAATGCGAAAGTTTATATGGATTGATGTTTTTTAGAGTTTGTAGCCTAAACTACTGAATGGATTTCAAAGAAATTTGGTATAGATGTATAGGATTGTCTGGAAAAATACATAAGCTATTAACTTTTGTTCTTTGATTCTATGCAGATGGAGTTGCGGGCGAAAGCTTGTGATATCATAAATACCAATGTTTAGATGGATGGATGCTAGTTTGTGGCCTAAACTACTGAACAGGTCTCAAAGAAATTTGGCATAGATGTAGCGGATAGCCTGGAAGAATACATAGGCTACTAACTTTTTAATTTCACTCTGAAAGTATCGCAGACGACATCTAGTACTACATTTAATGTTTATTACTTTAACTACAATAGTCTAAATAAACACACTATTTTTAAGTATGCAAAACTTTTACCAATGCAAGTCTTACAGTTTTCTGTAGAAAAGATTACTAATATAGGAAGAAGAGAAGGGTTTTTTAACATCGTGGCAACAAGAGTAAAAAAAAATAACTGACAAAAATAGAGAAAATGAAAGTCATTGATGTATAAATTTATATACGGCCAGTTACACTTATAAATAGCAAAGCAATAGTTTCTGTAAATCATTCCTAAATATTATAAAAATACATTTCGAGTGCATATTCTGAAAAAAAAATCCTTACGTTTGTATTTTTTTTTAAACTTTTAAGAAATAATACACACTATTTCGGCGGATGAAGCTCGTATACATTATATAGATTACAGATTTATAGGACAAGAATCAATACTTGGTTCAATAAATAATTAAAACGTAAATCTTAAATTGAATCTGAATTTATCACAATTCAGTGAACATTCCTCGATCATGATTTGACTTTGACAGTTAAAAGATTGCTATAAAATATGAAAACATTTTAAGACTGAAAAGGAAGACAAAAAAATATGAAATCTAAAATTTATGTTTTGAGTTTCATTTTGAAAAACTTAAGGTTTTGAATTTGAAATTGAAATCCACAGCAATGTCGATTTAGAAAATAATCACTTTGTCCCGTTTTTTTTTTACGGTAAATTTTTTATCTGTATTGCATCAGACTTGAAAGTAAAACGTTAATTGTCAAGAAAATGTCAAAAGTCAACCAGCCGTCAAGCCGTGTTTGTATTTTGATTCAAAGAATAAAAAATAATATAATCACCAGACTTGTAAAAAGAACTGAAATTACTTATCTTTCCACTGATAAACAGTTATAAAACAGAAACATGATGGTATGTGTTAGGTTTACTTTAACAGTATAATTTTATCAATAAATTTTACTACTTTGCAATAAATTTTTATTTCAGGATTTAAAAACCTTTGCTGAAGATGACTTTGATGCTAAAAAATGGATTAACAGAGCTTGGAGTTCTAGTGGTAATCAAGAGAAAGAGGTATAATAATGACATTGTTAAAAATTCATCAATAAATACATCATACCAATGTAATGCGAAAGTTTAAATGGGTTTTTGTTAGAGTTTGTAGCCTAAACTGCTGAACGGATCTCGGTAAAATTTGGCATAGATGTATACAATAGTCTTGCGAAAGCTATGCCATCCGCATGGACAAGGGCAAGCTAGGATTGTATTTACTGATGTCAGTGTTCACATTATGTCAGTCCAGTTATTAAGCACCACTGTACATTACTGGCCAAGTATAAACCATGTTCATATCTCACATGTTGCTAGGTGCAAGTAACTTCATCTTTTGTTTCCAGGACTTTGTTACAAATACTGTTACAAGATTGCAGCTCTATATGAAACAATTGAGTAACTCATTAGACGAAACAACCACACAGGTAAACAAATTTAATCATGCTAATATCCATCAAACATCCATCCATCTAAAATTTCGCATTTTAGATGGATGGATTGAAATTTTCGCATTTATGCGAAATTTTAGATGGATGGATGTTTGTTAGAGTTTGTAGCCTACACTGCTAAACGGATCTTGATGAATTTTGGTACAGACAAAGAAGATTTTTTTTATAATATAAGGTGGCAAATGAGCGCGATGCCACCTGAAACCACAGAAATGGAAAGCGACCGCTGTCCATACACATCAATAATTGCAGATGCGTTGTTATGCGGTTACTGTAAAGTGTATCCTTGTGCATTTTGTAATTTGATAAAAAAACAGGCTTTTAAGAGTTATGTTTAACATTGTAGAATGTATTTCAGATAGTAACATCAGTACCAAGGGTTCTGCAAGATGCGTCAGCTCTGCAAGTAGAAGGTGCGTTACTGCAGCAGAAGCTGTTGACCTTGGAAGACCAGGTTCAGGGTGTGGAACAGCAGACGGGACAGTCTATTGAAAGTCTTCAGAGAATTGATAGATTGAAGAGTCGGCTTGAGGTAATTCTCCAATCTTTACTTATGTAACTAATATTATAAAGAGGAAAGATTTGTATTTTTGTATGTTTTGATAATCAAAAACTAACTTTTTAACAGTGGTAGTGCCCGCTTTAACATCTTAGCAGTGCAGGGCCGGCACACACCCAGTAATACCACAACCACACAGAAGACAGCCGTCAAATGGAAGCAATTCCGTGTTTCGTCTGATGAGTGTGGTGCCGGAGGCCTAATTTAAGTCCCTTTCTCTTTATCACCCTTTTCTTATAAGGAGAGGATGGGAAGGGGAAGTGGATTTGATGATGGAGGAGATGCATAGGAAGGGGAAATATCCTCTTTATGTGCGTCTCGTCCTCCGTCGTATAAGGGTAGGCAACGCATCTGCAATTGCGGATGTCTGGGCAGCGGTCGCTTCGCCATTTTGGCGGATTCAAGTGGCCGCTTGCTTGTTTGCCACCTTATGTTATAAAATAAAAAAAACTACTAGGTTGATTTGAAAAATTATTTGAACATTATAAACTAGCCTGCAGCTTCTCTTTAATATGTTTTACTTTCTTGTTTATATTAAATTAGAATATATTTAGTAAATTAGCTTTAGTTTGTGTGAAATCTATAATTTTGTTTATATTATCTACTAGCTGTTCCCGTAAAATCCACATGAAATTATGAAAATTTTATTTCATTGTTCACAATTTGTCAAATTATCAATAGCAAATGTCAAAATGACATGACATGACAAACCTTAGTAACCTTGCTTCCTTAATGTTGGCAGCAACTTATGGTCTCTTTCCGACATTACGGTTTTTATCCAAAATGTTTACCCCCTAAGTTTAATGCCGTTAAAATATATAGCCTAAAGCGTGACGTAAGTGTAGAGCTTGTTATTAAAAAAAGAATGATTCAAAAATATGGTGTAATTGCTGACATGTTAGGCAACAAAGAAGTGTGTGTTTACACTTTATTATAATAGTATAGATATTTTTACGCTATTAAACTTAGGGGGTAAATAAATTGGAAAAAAAAAACCTTTATGTGGGAAAGTGACCATAAACTACAAGCCAACTCTCGACCGCAAGATTGGTAGTCCGTACCCCAAACCATTAGGCTATTGGCGCTATATTTATAATATTAGTATGACTTAAGATAGCGGCATCAGCTCTCCGTGAGGCTGACAAATGGGCAGCATTAGCAGCAGCATTGGAAGATATCTTGGAGACAGGTGTGCCGACCAGCGGGGAGAAGTTGGCTCAGTTGGCAGAACAAGTAGCCGCTATGACTGCTAGTCTTGAGGTATGGAATTGACTTTTTTTTAAGTTTTTTCTATTCTAATCATTATCATCATATCCCCTGCCTTATCCTACTCCCGTAGGGTCGGTGCTATGGGTTTTCGTCCTATAAAGCACTCTTATCATCCGTCATCTCAGTCATCACTCCCTTGATCATGTCACCTTTCACACAATCCATCTCTTTCTATGTCTACCTCTACCGATGTTCGCACTCATAACTAACATTCTCCTTGTTTCATGCAATTCATCCCTCCTCATAACATGCCCATACTACTCTAACCTTTTTACCTAACCTTATTTTTACTATTCTAATGTTATAAATAAAAAAAATTTGCATTTTTGATTTTTTTTATTTTATAAGGTGGCAAACGAATAAGGCTACCTGAATTCGCCCAAAAGGCGAAGCGAACTCTGCACGTAAACATTCGCAATAGCAGATGCGTTGCCTACCGTAATTGACGGAGGAGACGCACATAAAAAGGATATTTCCTCTTTTTTTGCGTCTCCTACACCGTCAAAGCTACGTTCCCTTACTATTATGAGAAAAAGGGTGGTAAGGAAAAGGGATTAAATTTGGGCTTCCGGCACACTCATTAGACAAAACGCGGAATTGCTCCCACTTCACACCTGTCTTCTCTGTCTGTATTTGTGTATCATTTGACTGTCGTAAAACTACTGGACCGATTTCTAAAACTATTTCACCCTCAAAAAGCTACATTACCTCTGAGTAAGTTAGGCTATTTTTAACTATTTTTCAATTATACTTCGAGAAAGTCGCGAGCAACAGCTAGTCAGGCATAAATCTTGTTTGAAGGTATTAAGTGATGCCCCCGACTATGAGTACAAGAGAGTACAATTAGAGACATTGTACAATAGACTGGAAGCGGCAGTCAGCTCGCCCTTTATTGATGCACTAACGCAGATGGATGCTGGTAAGTGATGCCAGTATTAATAAAGTTAACTAGCTGTTCCCTTGCGACTTTATCCGCATAGAATTATGAAAATTTTGTTTTGTCGTCATGTGTCAAATTATCAATTTCAAATGTCAAAATGACATGGCATGATGACAATCTTGCTTCCTTGATGTTGGTAGCAACTTATGGTTTCTTTCCCACATTGTTTTTATCCAAAATGTTTACCCCTTAGTTTAATGGTGTTAAAAATATAGCCTAAAGCGTGACGTTAATTGTGGGGTTTTTATAAAAAAAGTATTATTCAAAAATATGCTGTAATTGCTGACATCTTAGACAACAAAGCAGTGTGTGTTTATGCTTTATTATACTAAAAAAAGTTTATTATTAATTTCCTCTTGGGCAGGGGACTGGTGTCCAAACTAAGGTGATCCCTGTATAATAGTATAGATTAAACTAGATTTATATGTAATATCGAAAAAAATCATGTTTACCATATATTTGTTGCTGATATCGAAAATGTAATAATTTTTGTGTATTTGTCTGTATGTACACAAGTCGAATTTGATTTTTAAATTTCGGATTGATAAAACCGTAGGCCACCGCTCTCTGGATATTTTAGTGATAAATAAATTTATTTATCTTAAAATCTTGAAAAAATAATCTTCATGTGGGAAAGGGACTATAAACTACAAGCTGCCAACATTATGGAAGGTTGTTGGTAACGGTAAATTTGACATTTGCAATTGAGAATATTACAATTGTAAACAATAAAAGTTTTTACCATTGCATGCGGATGAAGACGCACGGGAACTGCTAGTTTATAATAAAAAATCAGGTGTCATTCGATAAGTTCTTTTCCTGAGTGCAACAGCGAATTCAGGGGGTCATGACCTACCCTGAGCTCTTG